CAAGGTGTTTATGCCATAATAAATCATGACAATTAAAAAAAAAGTATCAGTGTGGTTTGTTTCCTTAAAGGTCTTAGAGGCAACCTTCTGTGTAGGGGTGAAAACAAAACGTCCGACTAGAAACACTGTCTGTATACGGGAGACCCCTGTGAAGGTGTGCGGAGTTTGCCCCCGCAGACAAAAAATCCTAGGTACGGCCCTGTCTGTGCTGTTTTATGTATGATAGTCTGCTGGCAGCGTCCTCAACAAAATGAGAGGTGTATACTTCATACCTTTCTGGGGCTCCTTTCTCCTCAACCTCGGCCAATCGCAACCTCCCTTCAACACCCATGCACGTACCCATGCCCATGTAAAAGCTGTCATCAGTAACTTCATTGTTTTACACTTCCGGTTTTTCCAAATAGGTCCTAAACGTGCTGTTATCTAATTTTCGTACGGAATTGACCCGGACAGGAGCCGACTATACCCGGAAAGGCATCGAAAACGCCTCATCCGCCTTTTTTTTTGAGCGCGCGGTCACCCTGCACCCCCTCCCCGGTTATTCTTTCATGTTACGCTTACGCCAAATAGATATATCCTTCATGTAATAGTAATAGATTGTTTATCTCCCTGTATACCCATGTATACCCTGTATACCCTGTATACCTATGTATACCCTGTATACCCTGTATACCTATGTATACCCTGTATACCCTGTATACCTATGTATACCCTGTATACCCTGTATACCCATGTATACCTATGTATACCCTGTATACCCTGTATACCTATGTATACCCTGTATACCCATGTATACCCATGTATACCCTGTATACCCTGTATACCCCGTATACTTATGTATACCCTGTATACCCTGTATACCTATGTATACCCTATATACTCTGTATACCCTGTATACCTTGTATACCCTGTATGTATACCCTGTATACCCTGTATACCCTGTATACCCCACATACTTATGTATACCCTGTATACCCTGTATACCTATGTATACCCTGTATATGCATGTATACCCTGTATACCCTGTATACCTATGTATACCCTGTATACCCTGTATACCCATGTATACCCTGTATACCCATGTATACCCTGTATACCCTGTATACCTATGTATACCCTGTATACCCTGTATACCTATGTATACCCTGTATACCCTGTATACCCATGTATACCCTGTATACCCATGTATACCCTGTATACCTATGTATACCCTGTATACCCTGTATACCTATGTATACCCTGTATACCCATGTATACCCTGTATACCCTGTATACTGTATACCCTGTATACCTATGTATACCCTGTATACCCATGTATACCCTGTATACCTTGTATACCCTGTATACCCATGTATACCCTGTATACCTATGTATACCCTGTATACCTATGTATACCCTGTATACCCTGTATACCCATGTATACCCTGTATACACTGTATACCCATGTATACCCTGTATACCTATGTATACCCTGTATACCTATGTATACCCTGTATACCCATGTATACCCTGTATACCTATGTATACCCTGTATACCATGTATACCCATGTATACCCTGTATACCTATGTATACCCTGTATACCCTGTATACCCTGTATACCCTGTATACCCTGTATACCTATGTATACCCTGTATACCATGTATACCCATGTATACCCTGTATACCTATACGCCAAATAGATATATCCTTCATGTAATAGTAATAGATTGTTTATCTCCCTGTATACCCTGTATACCTATGTATACCCTGTATACCCTGTATACCTATGTATACCCTGTATACCCATGTATACCCTGTATACCTATGTATACCCTGTATACCCTGTATACCTATGTATACCCTGTATACCCAGTATACCCATGTATACCCATGTATACCCTGTATACCCTGTATACCCCGTATACTTATGTATACCCTGTATACCCTGTATACCTATGTATACCCTATATACTCTGTATACCCTGTATACCTTGTATACCCTGTATGTATACCCTGTATACCCTGTATACCCTGTGTATACCCTGTATACCCCATGTATGCCTATGTATACCCTGTATACCTATGTATGCCCTGTATACCTATGTATGCCCATGTATACCCTGTATATGTATGCCATGTATACCCTGTATACCCTGTATACCCTGTATGCCCTATATACCCTGTATACCCTGTATGCCTATGTATGCCCATGTATACCCCTGTATACCCATATACCCTGTATACCCTATGTATACCCTGTTTGTGTATACCCTGTATACCCTGTATACCCTGTATACCCTGTATACCCTGTATACCCTGTATGCCTATGTATACCCTGTATGCCTATGTATACCCTGTATGCCTATGTATACCCTGTATACCCATGTATACCCTGTATACCCTGTATGCCCTGTATACCCTGTATACCCTGTATACCCATGTATGCCCTGTATACCCTGTATACCCTGTATACCCTGTATGTATGTATGTGTATACCTATGTATACCCTGTATGCCCATGTATACCCTGTATACCTATGCCCCTGTATACCCTGTATACCCATGTATGCCCTGTATACCCTGTATACCCTGTATACCCTGTATACCCTGTATGCCATGTATACCCATGTATACCCTGTATACCTATGTATGTACCCTGTATGCCCTGTATACCCTGTATACCCTGTATGTATACCCTGTATACCTATGTATACCCTGTATACCATGTATACCCTGTATACCCTGTATACCATGTATACCCATGTATACCCTGTATACCTATACGCCCATGTATACCCTGTATGCCTAATGTAATACCCTGTATACCCTGTATTGTACCCTGTATACCTATGTATACCCTGTATACCCTGTATACCCTGTATACCCTGCCCATATGTATGCCCTGTATGCCCTGTATACCCATGTATACCCTGTATACCCTATGTGCCTATGTATACCCTGTATACCCTGTATACCCATGTATACCCTGTATACCTATGTATACCCTGTATACCCTGTATACCCTGTATACCCATGTATGCCCTGTATACCCTGTATATGCCCCCCTGTATGTTATACCCTGTATACCCTGTATACCTATGTATACCCTGTATACCTATGTATACCCTGTATACCCTGTATACCCTGTATGCCCATGTATGTATATGCCCTGTATACCCTGTTATGTATACCCTGTATACCCTGTATACCTATGTATACCCATGTACCCTGTATACCCTGTATACCCTGTATACCCATGTATACCCTATGTATACCCTGTATGCCTATGTACCCTGTATACCCTGTATACCCATGTATACCCTGTATACCCTGTATACCTGTATACCCATGTATACCCTGTATACCTATGTATGCCCTGTATGCCCTGTATACCCTGTATACCATGTATACCCATGTATACCCTGTACCCTGTATACCTATGTATACCCTGTATACCCTGTATACCCTGTATACCCTATGTATGTATACCCTGTATGCCCTGTATACCCTGTATACCCTGTATACCCTGTATACCTATGTATACCCTGTATGTATACCCTGTATACCCTGTATACCTATGTATACCCTGTATACCCTGTATACCCCTGTATACCCTGTATACCCTGTATGCCCTGTATGCCCTGTACCCTGTATACCCTGTATGCTCCCTGTATACCCTGTATACCCTGTATACCCTGTATACCCTGTATACCCATGTATACCCTGTATACCTATGTATACCCTGTATACCTATGTATACCCTGTATTGTCTGTATACCCATGTATACCCTGTATACCCATGTATACCCTGTACACCCTGTATACCCATGTGCTCCCTGTATACCCTGTATACCCTGTATACTCATGTATACCCTGTATACTGATGTATACCCTGTATACCCTGTATACCCTGTATACCCTGTATACCGATGTATACCCTGTAGATCCTGTATACCCTGTATACCTATGTATACCATGTATACCGATGTATACCCTGTATACCCTGTATACCCTGTATTTCTATGGAATGGTGAAGGTGACAAAATCAAGAGAAAAGTTATGATCAATGAACCTGAGTATGGAGGTCTGAAGATGATTGACCTTTATCCTTTCAACAAATGTCTTAAAACAACATGGGTTAAAAAGTACTTGGACGCTACTTAAAACGGAAAATGGAACGTTATCTTTGATCTCTAACTGGAGAACTACGGCCGCGATCTCATTTTCCGTGGTAATCTCAACCGTTGAGACTCAACGTCTCTGACACTATGAAAGAGATCAGGGCAACGGACCCCGTAACTAAAGAAAAATTGGAATATTGGAAAGAAATAAACTTTGTGGATAGAGTAAGTTCTGATATCGCTTGTCAAGAACAGGTTCTGTGGTTCAACTCTTTGATAAGGATAGATAACGAAAAATTTCTTTTTTAAAGGGTGGTTTTAAATAAGTATCTCCAAAGTTAAACACGTCCAAACGGGAAACGATAATTTTCTGACTCTCAAAGATTTTGCCTCCAAACATAATTTAAGAGTACGCCCGCTCAGTTTTTACGGTTTACTATCAGCTGTTCAACGAATTCGCAAAAATGTTACCGATACTGCTGAGACAAAAGACTATAACTGTGAAACACCGAGTGAAAACTGAATTGTTAAAAGAGAAAAGCTAGGTCCATTAATTTACCAAAAGCTGACCAGAGCCAATAGTTTAAGCGCACGTAAAAGCCAACTAAAATGACTTCAAGACTGTAACTACTCAGACGAAGAAGGAACATTTAACTAAGAACTTGCCTATTTTATGGCGCAAAGTACCGTGCACAAAAAGCACCAAACTGAGTTCCAATTTATACTATCACATAGGCGCATACCAACCAATCATTTCTGACTTAAAATAGGACGAAAAGAAAATGACATATATGCCTTTTGCAACAATTCCTCAGACACGCTAATTCATCTTTTTTGGTCTTGCCATGTTACATGAGTATACAGGGTATAAAGGGTATACATGGGTATAAAGGATATACATGAGTATACAGGGTATACAGGGTATACAGGGTATACAAGGTATACAGGGTATACAGGGTATACAGGGTATACAGGGTATACTGGGAGTACATGGGTATACATGGATATACAGGGTATACAGGGTATACAAAGTACACAAGGTATACATGGCTATACAGGGTATACATGGGTATACAGGGTATACTGGGAGTACATGGGTATACAGGGGTATACAGGGTATACAGGGTATACAAGGTATACAAGGTATACAAGGTATACAGGGTATACAGGGTATACATGGGTATAGAGGGTATACATAAGTATACAGGGTATACAGGGTATACATGGGTATACAGGGGTATACAGGGGTATACAGGGTATACAGGGTATACAAGGTATACATGGGTATACAGGGTATACATGAGTATACAAGGTATACATGGGTATACAGGGTATACATGGGTATACAGGGTATACAGGGTATACAAGGTATACATGGGTATACAGGGTATACTGGGAGTACATGGGTATACAGGGGTATACAGGGTATACAGGGTATACAGGGTATACAAGGTATACAAGGTATACAGGGTATACAGGGTATACATGGGTATACAGGGTATACATAAGTATACAGAGGTATACAGGGTATACAGGGTATACAGGGTATACATGGGTATACAGGGTATACATGAGTATACAAGGTATACAGGGTATACATGGGGATACAGGGTATACTGGGAGTACATGGGTATACAGGGGTATACAGGGTATACAGGGTATACAGGGTATACATGGGTATACAGGGTATACATGAGTATACAAGGTATACAGGGTATACATGGGTATACAGGGTATACTGGGAGTACATGGGTATACAGGGTATACAGGGTATACATGGGTATACAGGGTATACATGAGTATACAAGGTATACATGCGTATACAGGGTATACAAGGTATACATGAGTATACAGGGTATACATGAGTATACAAGGTATACATGGGTATACAGGGTATACAAGGTATACATGAGTATACAGGGTATACATGAGTATACAAGGTATACATGGGTATACAGGGTATACATGGGTATACAGGGTATACATGAGTATACAGGGGTATACAGGGTATACAGGGTATACAGGGTATACATGGGTATACATGGGTATACAGGGTATACAAGGTATACAAGGTATACATGGGTATACAAGGTATACATGGGTATACAAGGTATACAAGGTATACATGGGTATACAGGCTATACATGGGTATACAGGGTATACAGGGTATACATGGGTATCCAGGGTATACATGAGTATACAGGGGTATACAGGGTATACAGGGTATACAAGGTATACAAGGTATACAGGGTATACAGGGTATACAGGGTATACATGGGTATACAGGGTATACATGAGTATACAGGGTAAACAGGGTATACATGGGTATGGGTATACAGGGGTATACAGGGTATACAGGGTATACAGGGTATACAGGGTATACATGGGTATACAGGGTATACATGGGTATACAGGGTATACTATACATGGGTATACAGGGGTATACAGGGTATACAAGGCATACAAGGGTATACAGGGTATACAGGGTATACATGGGTATACAGGGCATACATAAGTATACATGGGGGTATACATGGTATACAGGGTACAGGGTACAGGGCATACAGGGTATACAGGGTATACAGGGGTATACATGGGTATACAGGGTATACATGGGTATACAAGGTATACAGGGTATACAGGGTATACAAGGGTATACAGGGTATACAGGGCATACAGGGTATACAGGGTGGGAGTACATGGGCATACAGGGTATACATGGGGTATACAGGGTATACAGGGTATACATGGGTATACAGGGTACATGGGTATACAGGGTATACAGGGGGAGTACAGGGTATACAAGGTATACAGGGTATACAGGGTATACAAGGGTATACAGGGTATACATGGGTATACATGGGTATACAGGGTATACAGGGTATACAGGGTATACAGGGTATACATGGGTATACAGGGTATACAGGGTATACAAGGTATACATGGGTATACAGGAGGGCATACAGGGTATACAGGGTATACAGGGTATAAAGGGCATGGGTATACAGGGTATACAGGGAGTACATGGGTATACAGGGGTATACAGGGTATACAGGGTATACAGGGTATACATGGGTATACAAGGGTATACAGGGTATACAGGGTATACAGGGTATACATGGGTATACAGGGTATACATAAGGTATACATGGGTATACAGGGTATACAGGGTATACAGGGTATACAGGGTATACATGGGTATACAGGGTATACATGGGTATACAAAGGTATACATGGTATACATACAGGGTATACATGGGTATACATGGTATACAGGGGTATACAGGGTATACAGGGTATACAGGGTATACATGGGTATACAGGGTATACATGAGTATACAAGGTATACATGCGTATACAGGGTATACAAGGTATACATGAGTATACAGGGTATACACGAGTATACAAGGTATACATGGGTATACATGGTATACAAGGTATACATGAGTATACAGGGTATACATGAGTATACAAGGTATACATGGGTATACAGGGTATACATGGGTATACAGGGTATACAGGGTATACATGGGTATACAGGGGTATACAGGGTATACAGGGTATACATGGTATACAAGGTGTACATGGGTATACAGGGTATACAGGGTATACAGGGTATACAAGGTATACATGGGTATACAGGGTATACATGAGTATACAAGGTATACATGGGTATACAGGGTATACATGGGTATACAGGGTATACAAGGTATACATGGGTATACAGGGTATACTGGGAGTACATGGGTATACATGGGTATACCGGGTATACAGGGTATAGAGGGTATACAGGGTATACTGGGAGTACATGGGTATACATGCATGGATATACAGGGTATACAGGGTATACAAGGTATACATGGGTATACAGGGTATAGCCAAAATTCGGTTGAAAATGAACTGCACATATTATTTCACTGTGATCAATACAATGATTTGAGAAAGACTCTTTTTATTAAAATCAACGACCGAAATACATTATTTACACACTACAATATCCATGATAAAGTCTGTTTTCTTTTTAACAATACTGATTCACATATCAGCAGGCTAGCTGCTAATTTCATCTTTCAAGCATTTGAAAGACGAAAGAAACATAGTTAATTCTACTATTCCATCATACCTGTATTTCCTTAAACTTAGCTGTTTATTATTGTTATTTTAATCGGTAACACCTGTACAAAATGGTAATACTGAATAAACTTGTTGTTGTTGTTGTTGTTGTATACATGGGTATACAGGGTATATATGGGTATACAGGGTATACAGGGTATACAGGGTATACTGGGAGTACATGGGTATACATGGGTATACAGGGTATACAGGGTATACTGGAAGTACATGGGTATACATGGGTATACAGGGTATACAGGGTATACTGGGAGTACATGGGTATACATGGGTATACAGGGTATACAGGGTATACAGGGTATATTGGGAGTACATGTGTATACATGGGTATACAGGGTATACAGGGTATATTGGGAGTACATGGGTATACATGGGTATACAGGGTATACAGGGTATACAAGGTATACAAGGTATACATGGGTATACAGGGTATACATGGGTATACAGGGTATACAGGGTATACATGGGTATACAGAGTATACAGGGTATACTGGGAGTACATGGGTTTACATGGGTATACAGGGTATACAGGGTATACAGGGTATACAGGGAGTACATGGGTATACATGGGTATACAGGGTATACAGGGTATACTGGAAGTACATGGGTATACATGGGTATACATGGGTATACAGGGTATACAGGGTATACTGGGAGTACATGGGTATACATGGGTATACAGGGTATACAGGGTATACAAGGTATACAAGGTATACATGGGTATACAGGGTATACATGGGTATACAGGGTATACAGGGTATACATGGGTATACAGGAGAATGGACATTCTATTACTGTTATATGAAACACTAGGTCTATTTGGCGTAAGCGTAACATGAAAGAATAACCCCCTCCCCGCTTAGCTGTTGGTGACGTCATGGCTAAGTAACCGCTTGTGTTCGAGAAAACAACTTTTTTAAGTTCAAGGGATCAGCGAAAACTTGGCTCCATTTCATTCAAATTTGAAGAAATTTTTAGTGAGACCAGAGCCAAAAAAACATGTCTCATAAATGGCACGAGGATTCGACTCGGCATAATGTCCAAGCCAACTCAGATTATTCTGAAGTATCGGACGTGCATCGATCTTTGACAGGGTTTAGTGGTGGAGGTGGCGTGCAACAACATGCAATTGCCAGTCCTCGGACGTCCAAGAAACGCAGTTTTCTGCAGTCGTTTAACAAGGGGCCACAGAGGAAAGGTACGATAATCACAAGGCCGTTAAATCACGACGCAATGCCGGAGGAGTCGTTCGAGGTAAGGGTCATTGCGGCTAACACGCCGCTGACAATGATACAGTTAAAGAGCTCCAATTCTCTAATTACATTTTGAGATTTTTATAAATGTGACGTTTTCCCTAAAATTTAGTTAGGGTGTAAAGCTATTCGAAGACCTTGTCTGATACGAAGATTTTTTATTTTTGCTTGATATTGTTATTAAGTATACCCTACGATCTGTTTACATGCATCTGTTCACTTTCAGGTCTTCAGGTTGGAGTCTTTTGATTAAACGTGTGCTGGTTTTTATGTCTTAATTAATCATTCCGTATTCGAAACTTTTATAATCATTACAATTTACACCTTTTTATCAACGTTTATATGTTCATCAGGACAAAGCAGTTTTTTTTACCTCTAATAATTGCGTAAAAAGCGTCACTCATCGAGTAACTTTTGCCGGACATTCACCCACTGTTGCAGCTTAATTGAATCACAAAAGACTGAGTTGTTTCAAGAATAAATAGACATTAAGTGCCTTGCAAAATGTTCAAGATCTTTCTAAAAAAATACAAATCCCTTCAAGCCTTGCCTCAAGATGTTTTGCTTTGTTGCAGATGAATTTTAATGACCTCATTTGGAATCCCTCCAAAAATCAAATGAGCCATTATTGTATATGATTTGGCATATTGCTCTGTTGTCTACATACATGTATTTGGCCAAATAGTTGCGATATTCTTTACATGAATGGCAAAAATTTATTAAGGACATCTAACTTCTCTGTATTTGCGGCAAATGATCCTCAGGTCAATTCTGTCCGCATGGGAAGAAAAACACATAAATGTTGTGTTAGTTATCAGCTGATTGATGGGCATTGTTGGCCCAGTGACACAGTACCGTATTATATTCCACTCAAATTTACACTTTTTGTAGGAGGCTAAGGAAGGTGATGCTGAAAGAATAAGAATCATGAAAATGGTGAAGGTATGGTAATGATTTTTCAAGGCCACACAAGAAATTTGTTTTTTTTTTGCATCACCTTGAAAGCTGTTGCTATAATCAGTTATTTTTTTACAAAGTAAAGAAAACTTTGAACTGAAGTTTTGACATATTTTATGACATCAAACAGAAAAAGTCAAGGTAGTTTAAATTTCACTATATAGTGACAGTGACTTTTTTGTATATTTATTGTTTTAAAATCTTAGGATCAGACTCTAGTTTTGTGTCAGTTGGTAAAAAGGCAAAATGAAATCTATGGCCATTTAAGAGATTGTATTTAAGATGAAATTCAGCCAAAAAGAAAAACTTTTAAACCTAAAGGAGAAGAATCAAACCTTAGCAAGAAACAGAAACTAGAGACCTTTCTGTCTTTTAAACTCGTTAAGTTTAATTGTGTTCTTACATTTTCAAGGAAGGACTATTGTCTGTTGAAGAGGCTATGGAACAAGCCAAAACTCTAGGAGTAATGGCTTCTACTGAGCCTGCGGGTGACGAAAACAGTGAAGAAAAGATCTTTAACTTTGGAGTTTATAAATATGGCAGAGACAAAACGAGTCTTTCAAGAAGAATTTTACAGGTACATCTTTTAACCCTAACACCAATGCACATACATGTAGGGTGAATTTCACTGAGAAATTATTAAATTCTTGATTTTGGGTCTTCCACGTTGAATCCTAGATCCAAACAAATTTTGGGCTGGGGTTTGTTACTTGAAGTCCATGTGGACAATAAGGATTACTGTTTGGTAAAATCTGTTTTTGGATTTATTTTTCAATATGCCCCCATATTCACCACACTTCTGTCTAAAATAATTTGTCTTGTAAATTGGCAGTAGTGGAAATTAGAATTTGAATAAGAGATACAAAATGAAATTATGCAAATTTTCATAAGCAGGTTTTAAAAGTTTGTTTAAAAATGTTTCTCTGTATTTCTTGGAAAAAGAATACAAATAAATGACATAGAATTTGTTTCCTTTTAGTTTGACTTTCAGGAGAAAGTTCTCTGCATAATCCAAAAAGGAAACAGAAACAAAAAGTTTGCATTTACAGACCTGCGAGGTTTTGACAGTGAGGTAAGTGTTGGCCTGTGAAGAGTCCTCTGGTGTGATAGTTACACAGGCATGTCCCTCGCAAGAGGGTACAGTTTTGATTTTGAAGTATTTTGGGACAAAAGGGGTGTGTGCGTGTGTGTAAGGCATGGAGGGGAGGCGGGGGAGCGGGGGTGCAGAGGGACTGAAGGGGTAGGTATGGATGTGTATACATCACCTGAATGGAGGATGTCATTTATCTTTCTTCTTCTCAGTTGACTTTCAGTAAACATAACTGTAAAGGTTACCTTTCTGTGGTGTCTCTCGATTAAAATCCAAGCTCTTCATCTGTTTCAATATCCCTTCACAAAAGGCAGGGCCTATTAGAAATCAGTGGGTACTTTCCATTTATGTGAGAAAATCAAAATTTCCAGTTGGAAAATCAAATGATTTGTGCCATTCAATTTGGGAAGCCTCAGAAAATATAGGCTGTGATTTGAGGCGATGAAAAATTTCTACTCTTTCAAGCCTGTTGATTTTGTAGTGGGTTGTTCTCCCACCGAGTCAAAATTTGTAGTTTTATGTTTATGAACAAGATTTCCACCTGGGTGGTTTGTGTACATGTAAATAGGAAATACCCAGTATCTCACTACAGGACTGGTATAAATTTCTTAATTTGGTTTGAATTTTAGGATGGTGTACGGTTTTACATTTACTTTGATAGCGACTACGAACTTGATGCTGACAGTGTGGAAGAGAAAAATAAGGTCAGTATATTGGGACTTCATTTCACTTCTACCACACCTGTGGTGCACTTGATTTGTCAATGTAAAAATCACTGGGTCACCCTTCTCGTTAGACAAACCAGAAAAGTTGTTGGATGTACATTACGTTGACTCTTATTTTTTTTGATATCTGTGCAAATCTTCTGCTACAAATGTCTCTAGTGTTTGATCCATCCAGTGTTTGTGTCTAACTGTAGTTAGGAGTTCATTGGCATGAGCACTTTTTAGTTGAATATTGTCTGATGACTGACAGTTATTTGTAGGCCTGCCGTGTTGTAGCCCTTGAATATTTCTTTTTTTTGTTAAAATCCCAAAAAGTAAATCGTGGCTTGGAACCATTTTGCAAGAGAGACAGGAGAGAGGTTCTTATGTCTGGTAACATCTTCATCTATTGATTGAAAGTGTAGAGTGATACATAAATTCATCAGTAATTTTGCCAGAATTAATTTGGTCTTGGAGGGAGAGGGTTAATATTTGCCTGGACGTAGAAACAATAAAGATTAATGTGTAATTATCTTCTTTCTTTCTGATTAATGAATGTTTCCAATAAACTTAAACTGCTTATTTCTTGTTAGGCAGCATTAAATTAATATTGGACTGTGTTGCTCTAAGCTAAACAGTTTTTTTCATTTTTGATAACAGATTTGTCATTTGCTGGAATCCATTGTACAGCAGAACCAAGGAGATCAACCAGATGGTAAGCCCATTTCTTTCCCCGGCAGTTCAAAATGGCACATAATAATAATGCTTGTAATAATAATAATGATAATATTAAGTTATTATTACCAAAAAACAGTTTTATTGTCAATTTTCAGATTTTAGAAGTACTATAAAACTTATAAAAATCCAAAAGAGGTCCCAGTGGATGGCTAATAGTAATAATAGAAATAGTTGTTAATAATAATAATATTAGTAATAATAACAACAACAATAATAAGTTGACTCCTGGAAACTCAAACCTTCTGGGTAAATAAAAAGTTTGAGTTATCAGGAGTTAGAGTTATGGGGAGTCCAAAGCGCATACAATGTAGCCAGAAATAAGGAAATAATGAAGGGAAAGGAATACAACTATCATGTACACTTCTCTTCAAGGGCAGCAAGATATATATTATTGATATTTTGTAAAAGGAATTAAAGCAACAAAGCTTGAAAAATATACAGGGATGGACACTGTGTGTTAACTTGACTGACAAGAAAGTAGAGACAAAGACTACAGTAGCGAGGTTTGAGGTATTGGGAGTCGACTACAAAAAATGATAATAACTATAATAATAATGAAAAACGTCTCATTATATCAAATTGTTTGGCTAAGGGGGTTGTTAGTGGTAGCCTAATCTTGGTTGATTCCATGTTTTAGGAGAATTTGTTGCACCATCACTTGACACTGCGAGGATCATCAAAGAAGGGCAAATTGAGAAGAAAGGCCATAGTGCGGCATTTATGATGTGGCCAAGGTAATTGAAAAAAATCTTGAAAGTACTGTGATAGTTAAAAGTTTGTCAAAAGTACAGGGCTGACTGTCATTCTGGTTTTAAGTAGCTCATCTCTAAGGAAAAGGAGACCTGTGTATGTTTCTTAAATTTGACTCATTTTCAAACTTAGAGTGTCTGGCTGGTTTTGCTACAGTAGTGGGTTTAAAAAGCTGGTTGCTGGCTTCTGGCTATTAATGAGAGCCCTGAAAGTGTGAAATACAATACTGGTTAGTTCAGGGATGAGTAATCCTGGACAATTCATGTGGGGGTATTTACCATAATTCTTGCAAGCTTTCCCCTTTTTTCAGACCAAAAGATGTGATTTTCCGTACCCTATTTAACACCTGACCAAAAGTTGATACCCTGGTAGTCTCAGACTAGTACATTTTCTTGTTGGGTAAGTAACCTTACTTGCCCGATGGGCATTAGGCCAAGCCGTCTAGGTTGCTCTGGCAGCGGGGCGTGAAATGGAGGGGGGCTTGCAACTACGTCTCTGGAATTTGAATTCTGCCTACAATTCCCCTGTGGCTTCCCATCAACTGAGCTGTCAGATTTCCACCAATCAGTGGGAAGCAGAGCCTGCAAACTGCAGATGTATTTCCGGTCGTTGCTTCTCTCCCTCTGAAAAAAGGACGCAACTAATTTGCGATTTCCTGTGTTTATGAAGATGTCCTGTCTCCAATCTGCATGATCTGATTCTGTTCCTTGGTCTCTGATCTCTTGGGTGGGGTCATTCTCTAGCAGTGCGTTGGCAAGTTTAAACGGACTTGCATCTTGGTACACATCTCTGCCATCGGTTATTCTCCTTGTACACTGTACAATGGCGCTATGCTTGAACCATCCACCCAGGTTACAATGTACAATGCTGGCTCAAAGGCTGTTGACCATTTGTTTGTCTTCTTTCGTTTCATTAGTACATGATCTCCAATGATTAAGGTGTGCTCCTTAGTGTTCTTATCTTAAGCATTCAATTTGATCTTTTGGTTGTTTGTATTCTGCATCTCGCTTGGTTCTTACTTGTCTGTTCATGAGGGCTTCGTATGGGGTTACTCCTGTTGCTGGATGTGGAGTGGAGCGATAGCCTGCCAACATTTCTTGGGTAGCGGTGTTGCTATTTTGTCCTTGAAGATGGGTGATCTGCTCACTCCTAGTGAACACACTTCATGAAACTTTCAGCTTCTCCATTGGTACATGCATGTTTTGGGGTGACACAGTGGTTATGGAATCCCTCTGTGATGGCAAACTCAGCAAATTCGTTAGAGTTAAAAGGAAGTGCATTGTCACTTTCTAGTTGGAACCTTGATGTTCCATGGGTTGCAAACATGGTTTTGAGCTTCTCCATTGTAGGTTGTGCTGTTGAGTGTGTTTTTGCTACTTCTGGGTATCTTGTCCTTTTGTCTACACCTACCATGTTGTACTGTACATCAGAGTAAGGCCCCTAAAAGTCTACAGCTTTGATGTCCCATGGTTTCTTTGGAATGTCTGTAACTTAACCTGGTTCTTGTTGGTGTTGTTTAGTGGTCAATTGGTACTCATAGCACTGGCCAATGATTTGGTTTACCATGCTGTTCATTGAGGGTAACTAATACTTCTCTCTCAGCATTTGTTTTATTTTGGTCATTCCAAGATGTCCCAGATGGTGAACTGCTATAATCACTTTTCTCTGGAGGCTTGTGGGTATAATGATCCTGTTTGCTCAGAAAATCCAGTCATCTACCACAAAGAGCTTGGTCTTAGGTTTCCCAATGGGGTGCTGAAAGTGGCAATTTTTCTTGGATCTGGATCCAGTAAGAGATGGTGGTAACCCTGCTTCATGTCTAACTTGGACTGGAGAAGATGACACAATCATGCAACTTGTACATAAAGTCCTCTACCACAGTTCCTTGGGTTTATCCTGTGCCTCTTTATGTACTGGTTGGGTACTCTGAGGTCCATATGCTGGCTCTTAACATGTGTGGCTCTAGGTTTTCCTTAGCTATCTCACAGAGCTGGGGCTTTGACTGAACTACGAGAAGAGAATGTTCACCACGTTACTGGTTCTCTTTCAGGTAGTTCTTCAGAAATCTCTTCCTCAATACACTACACCAACCATTTCTTGAGCGGTTCTTATAGATAATAAGCAACTGGTCTAGGTTTCTGAGCAACAGGTACCATCTCTAGCTTCATGCTGAACTTGGCATAGAAATTCACCAGTCGGATTTCGGTCACTTTTGTTAAGTTGCGCTATTTCTTTCCGGCCATAAATGAGAAGTGGATCATTTTTATCCAGAGGTTCTGTTATTTGTAAAAAAGCAGAATTCTCCCTCCATTTCCTCCAACCATTCTTCCCACGCTTTTCTTGTCGTCAGTTGGTCGTCCCCCTTGTAAAAATGGTTTTGCTTTTAGATTTTTGTTCTCTGTGATAATTCTAACAAGCTCTGTGGCCACCGCCACTTCATTCTGCTCTGTGTCTGGCATTGCTGTTTGTAAGTTTTGGCTCAGGTTAACATTGAAGTATCGCCGCATTTGCTGGGCTATTGTCTCGCTTTCATTTGTCACTTTATCTTGCTGGTGGTGCTTTATCCTCATAACAAATAATATGTTCAAATGCAAACACTAAAATGCTGTCAGATGCTGTTTCAAAATTGCTTTAATGTTAGAAAACAGAAATTAAACTACAAGTGATGGCGTGATCATGAGCCTTCAGTGCATGCGCAAGGTGAAAATCCAGAATTGAGTAAAATCAAGAGAGTACTCCATCCCTGGGTATGTATATTATGGTTGCAAAAGGCTAGAATAAACTATCTTGTCCAGTAATGTTTCCTCTCCTCCTATATGTAAGAGGCAAGTTTTAAAGCAATTTTGTGCTAAATGTTCCTTGTATTACTGTCACAGTTGCACAGGCCTATAGACAGTGTAAATTTTAGAAAAGAATGTTATGTAGGGAAATAGACTAAATCAAAATGAAATTTATGAATTGACTTACTATATTTTATCAGACGTTGGTTAAGAGTCCAGCAGGGGGAACTGTCATATTTCAAACTTGGAGAAGAAAATCAGGTAAAGATAAGTGTGATTTCCCTCAATATCTGTCAGCCACCTACAGTATCTGTAAAATGTTGCCGCCCGGTTAGCTCAGTTGGGAGAGCGCGGGTCTGCTGAGCGGGAGGCCGTAGGTTCAAACCCGGCCGGACCAACACTCAGGGTCTTTAAATAACTGAGGAGAAAGTGCTGCCTTTCTAATAACATCTGCAAATGGTTCGACTTTCTAGTCTTCTCGGATAAGGACAATAAACCGTAGGCCCCGTCTCACAAGCCCTTGCACATGTAATAAATCTGTGGGACGTTAAAGAACCCACACACTTTTCGTAAAGAGTAGGGCACGTAGTGCCCTGTGTAGTGGTCTATCTCACTTTCAAACTCATGTATGGGGGCATCATCACTCATTCCTTCAGTACTTGTAAACTGCACCTTAAGCAGTCTGGATAAGTCCCCCAACCAGTGTTGTAAATTATCCCTGAAAAGCCCTGTGGGGAGTGGATAATAAGATATCTGCAATGTTGAGCAACAGTTCACAAACAAACAACCAATGCCTTGGTAATAAGGATACTGGATGTACAGTATCACTTTGACCAGCTTTAGATAATTTTAAGCCCAAATAGTAATCCGATGAATACCGAATTCCTGTACGTACTAACTCAGTGCGTGAGTGAACATACTGTGGCGATTGAGCTTTGAACTAAATGTACCCAGGATCAGAGTGCCTTAAAAGAGGTTATGCTTGCTAGAAAAACAGACAAATAAAATATATTGACAATTCCATTTCAGTTTTTATAATAATAGTTAAGAAAGTTACTAAAGATTCTCTGTCTTTTTTGCAGACAGCACTAAACATTGTCAAACTTGGACCTGGCTTAGCTGAAGTGAAAAGCATAGATCATAATTCCTTTGTTATTATCACAAGCAAAAAGGAATACAGGTACAGTAAATATAATGTCGGAAAATTTTTTGTGCAATATTATTTTATTGGTCACTTTTGCACAATTTATAAAAATTAATTATATAATAAGACTATGCGTTGGAATGGCTTCCAGTGGTTGTAAAGGACATGCAATGTGCCATTATATACTCAATTTATTGAGAAAATGTTGTTGCTTGGAAAGTATGAATCACTAATGTTAAGACCTAATGGATTTGTGGGGGGATAAATAGTTTATTAGCATTGGAAGTTCAATGTTCCCTCTAGAAAAGGTAAATTGTCACAAGCATCTTGCAGATGGTTGTTCAAAGCTGGTTTGAGATAACCCATGGTTAGTGCGAATTTTGAACTCAGATATGAGAGCTTAAAAGACAAATTCAGTTTAATTCCTAATTTCGATAAATTACTTTTACAGTAAATAGCCGTGTTGTCCAACATAACTAACATTTTTTCAATGTGAAAAAAGTTTAGAGAATGTTTAGCCAATCTGCTCATAAACACAATCCCCCTGGAGTAGATTTTTTATATAGTCAATGAGAATACCCACTGGCTTCTCACTCACTGATTATGCAAATGAAGTTGTGCTATTTTTCAGGTTGCTGATAATACCCCCTTTTTTTTCTTGTAATACCTACTGTTCCCAAAATGTTGCATAACCATTGTTTCCAGTTTCTCTGGTGATGACTGTTACCCAGGAAAATTTGATCCATCTTCCAAAAAGGGAACATTTACTGTCTGAGAACTAGAGCTCCTATCACTCAGTGGTTTTGTGCGATTTTGCTGCGAGTAGCTTGCAATTTGTGATTTGTCAAGTTAAGAACTCAAACCATCTTTTGAACATTTTATTTTTATGAAATTCTAGTTGATGCTTATTTCTTGCTTTCTAATTTTTTTCAGCTTTCGTGTCTTGAATTTGAACAATGTTGGTGATAACGCAGTGGAAAAGGAAAGAGATGCATGGATTGAGGTTGATAGAATGAATTCTTGTCATTTACCATTTTTTAAAATATATTTGTGAAATTTTCTTTTATATGACGTTTTTTAATATAATGATTTGAATTGGGATTTAAGATTGGGATTTTCAGTGACTCTCTTTTTCTTTGGACTTGTCTTCCCTTTAGGCCATAACCGAGGCATCCCAGCTTAATTTCCGCAAGTCAAGAGCAGTTTCACTGCATGATGAACAAGGTATATACCATTGCAAAATAACTTTGAATTCGTAATTGTTTATACAAGGTGTAAATGTTCAAGGTCAATTGTATCTTGAACTCCTAGGAAAACGTTCCATTGTGCTGACTTGAAATTCCCAAAAATTCTGAAGAATTCTACTTGTAGATAAAAAATGGGTGTAAGATTCCTAACAGTTCCCAGAAAATCCAAGGTGAAAAAAGGGCTAAGTTTTCTAACAATTCCCAGAAATTCCAAGATATAAAAGGAATACAGCCAACAGGAATAGAGCCAACAGTTGATGCCACATGGAGTTCCCCAAGGACCTTGGGAGAAGTTGCCCATCGATTTCTTCGAATTCTGTGGTTTGGATTTAAACATCCTAGTTTTTGTAGGATGACAGAGTTATCCCATTTTCAATTGCCGTGAGCAGATTTTTACCCTGCCCTGACTGTTATCAGAAGTGCCAAGACTGGACTGAGGAATGCAAGCTCTTTCTATGACCCTTCAGCGTCAAAATCAAAGGAGATCGAAGCAAGTTATGTGTTAATTTGGGCTGGAAAAGTCAGAAGAACACACATAAAGTCGCTAAATCTTTCAGCGGGGCAGAAGAAAGATCCGCAAATTCTCTTACAGAAGTTCCTAGATTGGACAAAGCCAAAGTCAGCAGCTGACTTTCGCTAACTTTTTTTTTAAAGGAGGAGAACAGAGATGCGACATTATCACTTTTCATGGACTAACTTTCATCAGGCCATCCATTTATGACAGCTTGCATCAATAGACCAGATATCATGTCATCTGCAGTTGTATGTTGGAAGTCTGCTATACTTTCTGTATCGGCATGGATTTCTTCAGTAAACATATGTACAGTGATGACGTCTCTGTCTACCTTGCTTTCACGTACTGGCTGAGGTGAAACTCTGGAAAGTGCATTGGGTATGACGTTCTCCTTCCCCTTCAGGTTTTCAATGTACGAAAAGTCACTGTATAGCCATACAAGTAGTGATGGAATCTTTCAAGGGCAAAGACAACACTCAACAGCTCTCTCTCTCTCTCTCTGTTTGAATACCGTTGCTCTGTCTCAGTGAGGCTTCTTGCATAGACAACTGGCTTGCCATCTTGAAACAAAACTGCGCAAATGAGCCTTTCTTGGATGCATCTGACTGGACGGCACTTGTCTTGCATGTATCAAAATATGCATGTACTGGTGCCATTGTGATTTCTTTCTTGATTGGTTCAAATGCTTCTTGTTGTGATCTCACCTATGCGAAAACAACACCTTTATGGCACAGTGCTCTTAGTGGGCTGTCAAATCTGCTATCTTTGGGAGAAAATGATTGACATGGTTCACTAAACGAAGATAGCTTGTACCTTCTGAGGATCTATCTTATACCTATGTGGAGTGAGATTACCACCAAAGAACGGACAGTCGAGTCTTGAAGACAAACTTCCCTTCATTGGAAGTGAGATAATTAGCTCTTGTTGTCTCTAACAACAAGGTAATCACAACTGCATCGTGAGGGATTTCTGCATTGCCATGGCACGAGATATCATCTGCAGTACCGGTAGTACTGGGAACTCTCTTTAGGACTCTGTCAAGTCTTTCTTGAAACGCATCACCTTTCACGGTTAACCCAAAAGGTAGGCATAGCCAACGCCAAACGGTTCTTGCCCTATTGTGTGTTGAAGGTCATCAGCAAACTACTCTCCTTGTCCAGTGGAATGTGCCAGAGTGGGTGGACTAGGCTGAAGTGCTTTGAGTTTGCCAGCTCTTGTAAGACATCATCAATCTTTCTGTTGTACCACCGGTTGCTCTTTATATCTTTATTTAGATCTTTAGGATCAAGGCATAACCTCAAGGAACTGCCAGGTTTCTTCAAAGGAACAAGTAAATTATTGAATTGATCCATTCAGTGTACTCTAGGACTTCTTTAATTACTCCAAGTTCTACCAGCCTCTTCAACTCTGCTTTGCTCACTGCTACCTGACAAGGAGGATGTTGGACAGGTTTGCAATCTTCCTTTGACTGAATATCAGTCATAAGATCCACCAGGCAAAGTTCCTGTTCGTTTAAACTTGTCAGAGTATTCCTTCAGTAAGTACTCTTTGGTTGTAGGTAACAGATGTGTTTTCCCTCCGATGGTTATCTTCTTGTCTGTACATTCTTGTACTACTGGAACAACTGGTTCTGCAGGGGGGTTTCACAGGCTTGTCAGTAATGGTTTTTATAGACGTATCCACTTTGGCCTTGACCACTTGCTGCTGGATCTCTGGGAAGCTAACATATATATGCCATTAGCAATGCTTGCTGCCTGCCCAGGATCATGTGACCTTTGCAGTCTGCCGTTTCACATGAGACTTTGTATGTTTTCAGTCTTGCCATGATGAAGGTACACAGAACAGGATCCAAGATTCTCAACTGGGCTGTCATTGTAGCCTTTCAGATTCATTGTCTGTTGTCCCAGCTTGGGATCTGTTCCAAAAGAGAATTTGCTTTGTCCAGAGGTAGAATGTTGCTGCTTGTACCTGTATCAACTTCACAGGGGATATGGAAAATCTGTGATGAGAGCTCCTTACTAAGCCAAAGAGAGCGAATGTGAGGCAGTGGCTGAGGATGATTAAGAGTCTTTACCATTACCATCTTCAAATGATGCATGGTTGCAGTAACATACACTGGTGTATAGTCTTCCACTGTGCTGTTTTGGTTTGAGGGTGCATTCATAGGCTGGGTTTGTAACTCATTAACATTCCCTCCTTTGCTTTTGTATTTGCAAACAGAGCCATAATGTTTCTCGTTTCCACACTTAAAACACTTTGCACTCTTTGCAGGGCATTGACTTCTTGGATGTGTAGGCTTTGCTTCACAATTGAAGCAGGTTTCTCTCTTGGTGCGTTTTTGATTGTCTGATCCACCTCTTTCCTTCTGCTGTTTCTCTTGTTTAGGCCTGGCTCCTTGCCTTTCATGGAGTTGATGGACTACTAATTGGATAAGATTGCCTTTAAACTCTGGTTACATAATAACCAACCTGACTAGCCGTGGTGTCTTCATTTTGAGCAATTGCTGCTGCCTCCTCTTAAGTTAACGCTGAGCCTTTCTCAATGCATTTAAAGTAAGCCTCTCGGAAACGTAGACAGATGACCATTGTATCTCGGAATAGTCTGTCACGGGCTTCAGGAGGATATTCACACTGGTCGCAAAGAACAGTTAGTTGCTTTGTCAATATACTCTGCAAGACTTAAATCACCTTTTTCCAGCAGCAAAAGTTAGCTGCTGCTGCAAGAGCACTAGACTTCGGCTTAGTCCTATCTAGGAACTTCTGTAAGAGAATTTTCGGATCTTTCTTCTTCTCTGCTGAAAGATTTAAAGACTTTATGTGTGTTCTTCCGACTTTTCCAGCCCCAAATTAAGACATAACTTGTTTTGATCTCTTTTGATTTTGACCCTAAAGGACCATTAAGCAAGAGCTCGCATTCCTCAACCTAGTCTTGGCACTTATGATAACAGTCGGGGCAGGGTAAAAATCTGCTTGCGGTGCTAAAAAAACAAGGATGTATAAATCTAAACCACAGAATTCGATGAAAGCGGTGGAACAGAAATGGAATCTAGCCTAAACTCTGAAATATTTTAATGCATTGATTGAAAAGATTAAACTGCCTTTATAAGTTAAGCTACTAAATTTACATAGATGAAACACACATTACTGTTCTAAACAAAAGATATGAAAATGGAGGTTATGTAACTGGTTGCATAACTCTAGTCTAGTAGTAAATTCCAAGGTAAAAAGGGACTAAGATTCCTAACAATTTCCAGAAAAATTTCAAGGTAAAAAGAGTCTAATATTCCTAACAATTCCCAGAGATTCCGAGGTTAAAAGGGTCTACGACTCCTATCAATTCTCAGAAATTCTAAGGTGAAGAGTATATAAGAATCCTAACAATTCCCAAAAATTCTAAGGTGACAAGGGTCTAAGGTTCCTTAATTCCCAGAAATTCCATGGTAGAAAAGTGTAAGATACTTATTAATTCCCAGAAATTCTAGGAAAGGGTCTAAAATTCCTAACAATTCCCAGAAATTCCCAGAAATTCCAAGGTAAAAATGGTCTAAGATTCCTTAAGTCCCAGAAATTCCAAGAAATTCCAAAGTAAAAAGAGTCTAAGATTCCTAACAATTCCCAAAAATTCCCTAAAATTCCAGTGTAAAACGTGTCTGAGATTTCAAACAATTCCCATACATTCTCAGAAATTCCAAGGCTAAAAGGGTCTAAGATTTCTGTCAATTCCCAGAAATTCCCAGAATTTCCAAGGTAAAAAGCGTCTAAGATTCCTAACAATTCCCAGAAATTCCCAAAAATTTCAAGGTAAAAAAGGTCTAAGATTCCTAACAATTCCCAGAAATTCCCAAAAATTCCAAGGTAAAAAGGGTCTAAGATTCCTAACAATTCCCAGAATTTCCAAGGTTAAAAGGGTCTACGATTCCTATCAATTCCCAGAAATTCCCAGAAATTCCAAGGTTAAAAGGGTCTACGATTCCTATCAATTCCCAGAAATTCTCAGAAATTCCAAGGTAAAAAGAGTCTAAGATTCCTAACAATTTCCAGAAATTCCCAGAAATTCCAAAGTTAAAAGGGTCTACGATTCCTATCAATTCCCAGAAATTCCCAAAAATTCCAAGGTAAAAAGGGTCTAAGATTCCTAACAATTCCCAGAAATTGCAAGGTTAAAAGAGTCTACGTTTCCTATCAATTCCCAGAAATTCTCAGAAATTCCAAGGTAAAAAGAGTCTAAGATTCCTAACAATTCCCAGAAATTCCCAGAAATTCCAAGGTTAAAAGGGTCTACGATTCCTATCAATTCCCAGAAATTCCAAGGTTAAAAGGGTCTACGATTCCTATCAATTCCCAGAAATTCCTAAAAATTCCAGGGTGAAAAGGGTCTAAGATTTCTAACAATTCCCAGAAATTCCCAAAATTCCCAAAAATTCCAAGGTAAAAAGAGTCTAAGATTCCCAGAGTTGAGCTTGTTGATGGGGAGCAGATAATCAACGGTGTTAAACGCTTTGGGAAGGTCTAGGAACACTGCTCCTGTCAAGCATCCTTTGTCCATAGCTTCTAGGGATTGATCTGTGAAGGCGATTAAGGCAGTGGAAGTTCAATGCTTCAGTTGGAAGTCAATCTGTGACTCTGACAATAGTATGTTTTCTTCCAACTTGACTGAATATGTGCTGATCTCTCTTTGATCTTGCTTATGGTTGGTAAGATTGATATCGGTTGATGATTGTCTTTCAATGACTTATATCCATCTTTAAATAATGCAGTGACTTGACGTAAGAATCATCCTTCAACAAGCGGGCACTTCGCTTATCAAGTCCAACAGCTTTGGTTTTTTAAAGATCTGAGGGCATTACGGACAAAGTTCACAGTAACATTCAGATCGAATTTAAAAGGAGGGGTGCTGGAGTAGAAACAGTCAAAATGATTTGAAATGGTTTTGCCAATGCTTTCCCAGTTGACACAAAGTACTGGTTTATGGTCTGGCGACAGAGAGATTTTTAGTGTGCCACTTCCCATTTTTAAAGATTGAAAAAAGAAACAGTCGATTTTTTATCACCAGGAAGTACTTGTTTCATTGCTCGCCACGTTTCACAGGAAACACCCTTGGTGTCTTCAACCATCCAACAAGATTATTTCGATCTCAGATTCTTTTCCTTGTGATTAGTAGAATTCCGCAGGTTTCTGTACTTTTTCCATTGGTAAGTACAATAGGTGAAGCGTGCTTTCCTGAAGTGAGAGTCTTTGACTCGTTTCATTTCAGCAAGTGTTATGTTATTCATGGGTTTTGCTTTCTTTAGCACGCTTAATCTTCAGAAGAGCTTGTTCGTTTGCTATCTCAGAAAACAGTCGCTCCCTCAAGAAAGCAGCATCACTGACATTTTCAACTCCATCAATATATGACTAGGGGACTTGACTAAGATCATTTACGAATTCCATCTTATTATCATTCTCGAGTGACTGATGTTCAAATTTCCTCGGTTGAAGTTTTGGGACGCCTCCTTTCATCACACAAAAAACTAAGCTGTGGTCGCTTAGCGTTGTATGAATGATGCCAGATTGAACAATCTTGTGTTCTCTGTTTGTAAAGATCAGGTCAATAAGGGCCTTTGAGTATTCTGTTATTCTTGTTTGTTCAGTTATGCGCTGGTTCTGCTGTTTCATCAATCTGCTTGCGGAACGTTTTCCGAGTTGGTCGATGTTTGAGTCACCCATTGGTAATAGACCGTTTCTTTGGAAACGAGTCACTTAGAGAGTCAGAGAGTCACGTTTGGGGGCTTGTATGTAGCAGCAATCAAAAGCGGTTTGCACTTTAACCTGTTAATTTCAATCCATTACAACTTCTCATTATTTGCTGCTAAGTCATTCTTAACAGTCAATGGAATATTTTCTAGTATATAAAGCAAAACTCTACCTCCTTGTTTGGATATCTACAGGAATGTATGTATGTAATATCTACTTCCTTTTATCCGCAGCGCTGACAACTTCTGTAGCAGAACAAGAACAATTTCTCAAGGACGTTGTCCGCACTCTGCAAAGGGTATTTTTTAAAATTTTGTTCTTGCCTAGTCTGTTATTAAAAAATTGTCATTTAGGATGAAAGATCAAGTCCAAGGCCTTCTTTCTGCCAGTTTGAAGGTTGTCTTTGTCTGCTTTCAAGTGTACTGTATCACCAGGAGAAGATAAGAAATACAGTTTTCATTTTTTTAGGAAGACTGGAAGAAATTGTCATTTTTGCTTTCAGACTTTTCAAAGTCATGTATAATTCATGATGAAAATACATAGGAAATTAATGTTTAATGATGTTTGGAAATCAGATGAAAAACTGCTCATTTTTGCGTCCTTAATTTCTCCTTCTAAAATCATTTTGTTTGAGAGGTAATATCGAGCATCTGACACAGTGTTTCATCACCAGATGAAACACCTCGAAGTTCGTCAAAAATACTCCGCTGCGCGTCGTATTTTCAACTCTCTTCTCGTAGCTTCATGTGGTGATGAAACAGTCTGCTTTTCATGCTTGAATCTTGATATATTTTTTCTTGAGACCTTTTCCCCCGGTATCTCCGGAATGGTGATTTCCCTCGCTTGGTGTTGCTATGATAGTGATCAGAACTCAATTGATATAGGGGAACTCCCGGAAGTGTTAATAATATTCAACTAATTCGCTATTTAGGAGTTGGAGCAACTTGCATCCGTGTTGTCTGTGGTAAATGCACCTATACAAGCAACAGTTCAGGTAAATTTCTTTTTGCTTTGTTTTATCTAAGTGATGATGTAAGCAGTTACAATCTTTTCAGGAAGGCCGTACAGTGCGCAGCCCCTAACGTAGTACAGTGGAACCCAGTTAATACGGTTACCAATGGGCCAAAAAAATTGGCGGTATTAAGGAGTGACCGTATTAACGAGGGTTTTTTACAAGTAACTGTAAGGTCGTTTTGCTGGGCGGCCAAAAAGGTGTGCGTAATAACGAGGTGACCGTATTACCGAGGTGGCCGTAAGACGCCGGGGTTTTACTGTATATTCTAGACAGTATCTCTTTTTGCTACGGTGGATAGATTGGAAAAGTATAGAGTCTCTGGTCTGGCTCATAACGCTCTTTTGTGCCATGTATTGCCATCCAAACTGGTTTATTATGGGACATTTGAGGCATTACACTGAGCCCTCAGTGACGATACACATGTTCTTTACTTCTTGTTTCCTGACTTCTCTAAGGGCGTGTTTACATGAAGGGAGGGTAGCCCTTGCAAGAGTTTTAACCTTGCCCCGACGCATTGTTTTCTTTTTTTTTAAGCGATGTGATTACAAAGTAGTTAGGTAACAATATCTACCTTGGCATTAGGTACGCTCTCATAAGTAGCAAAAAAAAAATAAAAGTAGGTAAAAATAGTAATAAAATTAAGTCTTAAACTAGCCTGTGTACAGCTGGGTCCTCACTTCAGAATGAGGGGAGCTGGCTGTTGTACAAAGGCTAGTCTTAAATATTTAAAAATAATGTTTTAAAAAAATATTTAAAAATAATGTTTTTTTGACGCTACTCTTATCAGGTTAAAAAGGTTAAGGATGTTGTAAGAAACTTGGATTCTCAAGTCAAAACTGGAGTGTTGTCATGGACCATGTAAGTAAATTATTGTAACGGTTTTAGATGAATTGTGTCTCAAGGGCCATTACTGTATTTTCTTTTGCCTTCAAATGGGATGATAAAAAGGGATGCTAAGGAAGATTTACTGTTATAGACTTAGTAGATGGGTTTAAAAAAAACCCCGTTCCTTTCTAAAAAAAAAAAAAAAAAAAAAAAAAAAAAAGAGGACAGTAGATATATCTAGCAACCTTTGTGGCATTACAGGTGTGGTATGGAATCCCTAATGAAAGGGTTCCCAAGTCTCCACTAAAATAGTGGGTAAGGTGGGGAGGGAGGATGCGTGTATACAAGGGTGTTGTGTGTATAGAAACAGAACCAAAAAAGTTAGATGTTAAGATTAGCACTGATAATGAGGGACGGGCAAACTGCAGAGCAGCTATGTCTACCTCAAAGAAGTGCAAAAAATTATTTAGTAGAAAGTAATGATTACTGAAATTTTAATAACGATAGGATTAAATAAAATATTAAAGTTGAAAAATAACAAGAATAAGTATTGAGGGACTGGCAAACTGTCAAACAGCTATGTCAACCTCAAAAAAGAGTTAGGATAAGTATAAGAGGATGAGGGGTTAGAAGGTAAAAATAATAAGAAGGATGATAGGAAGATGAAAGGGGAAAAGAGGGACCGGCAAACTGCAAAGCAGTCATGTCAACCTCTTGGAGAGTTAAAAATAAAGAAGAGAGAAGAGGAAAAGGAGGAAAAAAAAAATTATTATTATAATAAAATGAAATGAAATAAATGATAGAATGAATGAAAAAAAAAAAAATAAATGAATAATAAAGGAGAGACTCCGGGTTAAACAAAGGAAAAAACAAACAAAGGAATTACTTCAATAACTTTAATGTGTGATTTTTTCTTCTTCTTCAAAAATAATGGTAACATGTTTGTGCAAAAATGAAAACGTACAGTTGTATCTTTGGTGAAAACAAATTATAACAACCCAGATGGCTTGTTAACTGATACAGTGAAAACACTACATGAGCTTCACATAATTATTGGTGCATAGTCGTTCTTAACAACTTATCGAATCACTGAAATAGTTAAAATTAGATGGAAATATATTCGTTCTTAAAACACTCAAGGAGTTATCGACTCTGGAAATAATTATTCTTTTCAATAAAAGTTGAAAAAGACTCAGTAGTTTCTCTGGTAACTATAGCAACATCTGCACACTTGTGAAAATTGTGAAATAAATTAAAATGTTGTATAGTACTTTAAAATATAGTCCGATATATTGGATGAAATACAACATTAGAATTAAGCAAAGGAAAAAGTCATATGTAATCTTCCATAAAAAAGGGGGACGGGGTTAATAGAAATGTACAGGATAAGAACTTTCGTGATGAAACTATTATAAGTAGTATAACTTGAAATATTACAAAAATGTAATTGAAAGAGAATTTAAATGGTTAGTTTTTAGTGGTCCTTTTGTGTTCGTTGATATTAACAATTATAAGGAATACAACTTGTAAATTTTTAAAAAATATTTTTTGAAAGAGAATTTAAGATGTTTAGTCGTTAATTATTGTTAGTCGATCTCTTTTGTCCGTTAAGGTAGAGCCATTCTTCACAGTGCAGATCGAAATAAAACCAGATATGAGATTTGTTATCCATGTTGTTGAGAAGAAAGTCTAGCTGGCGGGCACGTTTTTCTGCCTTTCTGTCAGTGGTCCAGTGTTGTGACGTCATGATCCAGTGTGAAGTGAGGTGGGGTGAACAGCCATTGCCAATTAAAAATAAAAACAGTTTGAAAGTGTTCTTGTCGCTTATTGGTTTTTTCCAAAAAATTAACTTAAAATCTTGTGGCCAAACAGAAAGTGGATAAAAAGCGTCGCCGTTGATAGAATTAAAAAGTTGAAGACGTTGTTGGATAATAGATGCACGGGAGAGGTTGCGGAGATGGTGATGGTAAAAGTGGAGTGAGGAGTGGTTGTTATCCATAGTTGAAAGTAGTCTGTTAAGATAACAATAGAGGAGGGGGTGGGGATGAGAGCATCAGGATGGTAATTCGTAATTAATAACTATTAATAGTAATAGGTAATAGCGTCATAAGTTATGACAAAATTGTCTTGTTTTCATTAAAGGAAAAAAGGAAGTAGGAGAGGAACAAAAGAGTGTGAAGGAGAATGGGAATACCCGGGTATGGCAAGAAGAAGGATGCATCGACACCAAGGCTCCTGTAATGTTGTGAATCGTCAGGGGCAAAGCACAACTGAGCGAGGATGTTTCTAGCCCGGCGCCGAGCCTTTGCCCGACATCCTCTGTGTCGAGTCCTAGAGAAGAAAAAAAGGGGAGAGAGGAGGGAAATGGCCGGGAGGTAGCCAAGAAGAGAGAGAGAGAAAAGAAAGAGAAGAAGAAGAAGAAGAAGAAGAATAGAAAAAAACAAACAAATAAACTTTGAGCAGAACAATATACTCTCTTTGTATGTAAATAGAGTTGGAAAACGATAATTAAAAAAAAAAAAGGAATTATAACGGTAAAGCGGAAAGCAGCAGTTGAGTAGTTTAAAAGTAACAAATTAATTAAGCTAAAGTGACAATATCTTACCACGAAAACAAAGGGTTTCTTCAAAAATGCCGGTTGTGAAAAAAGTTCAGTCCTGGAAATAAGGAGGCCCAAAATTAAAAACAATTATAAGGGATGAGGAGAAGTCCCGTAGAGAAATACTTACGTCTGGAAAGAAATGGCTCCTCTAGGGTAAACGTAAGAAAAGAGTGAAAAATGCGGAACAAAATTCTGTCGTAACAAAAAAAAATTTTGTCAAAACAAATTAAAATTGACGCCAGAATGACGCGAGCCACTGACGTACGAGAAAGGTGTCGCAATGATAGATGGGATAGCTGTCAACCTTTCGAAGGATATGAGCGGCCATGAGGTTTGAAATTGTGTCTATAAAGCGTAGAAATCAGTCTTTTCAAGGCCAAGTGTCGAATTATTCATGGAGTGGCAGTTATCGTAGTGTGCTGGGATGGATTTGTAGTAAGCAGGTTTTGTTCGGAGTTATATCGCAATCGGTGAGTCGGAACAACAATTTCAGTATGATCGATCGTTCTTCTTGTGGATGAAAACTGGAGCTGAGTTCAGGAGCTGAGTGCAGGTTTAGCCAGCAAACTGATCGTTGGAGGTAAGGAATCGAAGTTAAGTATTCCTAATATGGTATATCGTTCTTTTTGCGATGACGATGAGTTTAGTCTGAAAGAGTTGTCTGTGTGTGAGTTGTATTTTACAAGGATAAGGGTGGTAATATTTCGCTAGACTGCATGTAAGGAGTGGAGTTTCAAAACAAGGCAGTATAAAAAGGGGGGAGACGCGATACGATGCCGCAGTGAAATAGGCAGTGACTGCTTTTGAGATTAAACCCTCTGAATAAATTTATTGATAAAGTCCTAGAATTATAATGCTGAAAAAGCTTGTAGTAGGGAATAGTGAAAATCGATTGAAATATTAGGGTATTTACATAAGAATGGTAGTGTAACTTTTTAGTGAAAGTAAAATATCTATTAGAATGATTTAAAATTTGATTGCACGCAAGTGTCAAGTAGAATGAATAAAAACTTGATTACATACAGGTGTCAAATTTAAAAGTTATTAAAGCTTGAAGCTAGCATAATTCTATATTGAAGTAGTGCGAAAGTGTTCATATGTCTATTGATGTTGCATATTGTTTAGGGTATAATAAGTTAAATTTGTAGTGCTAAAATTCTAATCGTATTAAAAGTGGAGAAATTATGTACATGGTGGCAGATGAAGAACCCGCTGAGATGAAATAAATAACCAGCAAAGATTTGGCAACAGAAAAATTGGTTGCTGGTAGATAAAAAATTTTTAAGTGGTAGAATTATTAAATAGGATTAATTTATGGTGTAACATTTTATTAGTAAGAAGGAGTGTGTGGAGTTTAGTAGAGTTGCAGTATGCTTTTGAGAGTTTCGGTATGTGTGGGTTGTGGTATTTGAGTAGAATGTTGTTGACCAGTTTGTCTGTTCGTTTGTCTTTGTTGTATAGAGTCTTGTAGTAAACAGTGGGTCTGGTAACGTTATTAGTCTGTTTGTTTTTGAGGCGTCGCTGGTGAGCAGTGCGTGTGATCCATGGAAATGAATGTTCAGTGATCAGTTGTAAAGGATAG